ACTGGGCAGCCAAGTAATAGTAATATAGACAGGGCAATCCCAATCCTCCCCTTGTCTTAGGTCTATAAAGGATCTGTCTAGATATTCTATGGCGTTTGTTTTGCCATATAAAAGCGCCTATGGTTCGTTGCAGTGGAAGTAGCTGGGCCTTAGTTAGGTGTATGGGCAGTGCTTGGAACATAAATAGGATACGTGGCAAGACATTAATTTTTACGGAGTGAATCCGTCCTATCCATGAAATCGGCTTATCCAGCCACTTTTCAAGGTCTTTCGTCAGGGTTTTCATTAATTGGCTGTAATTGTGGTGAAACAGTTTTCAGGGGCTGCGGTCAAGCGCACTCCCAGATATTTAAGTGAGGTATGCTCGATATCTATGGTATGTTCGTCCCCAATCGCCACCGTGTCTGCCGCTGACATTCCCACTGGGAGTGCACTAGATTTGGTCATATTCACTATGTAGCCTGAGATCCCCCCGTAGCTCTGGAGGACTTCCTGCAGTGCCGGCATGGATTGGGCTGGGTTTGTAAGTGTCAAGAGCACATCGTCGGCATATGCAGAAACCAGGAATTCCCTTCCCCCCACTGTAATTCCGTGTATTCGTGGATGTTGCCGAAGTGCCTGTAGCAAGGGTTCGAGAGAAAGGATAAAGAGGAGTGGAGATAATGGGCATCCCTGCCTCGTGCCATTATGAAGCTGAAAGGGGCGGAGGGAGGCTCCCGGTACCTGTACCTGTGCTCTAACATTGCTGTACATTGCTCTAATGAGTGCAATGTATTCCTCTGGTAGACCGAAGTGGGCTAGGACTTTGAATAGGTATAGCCATTTTACTCTATCGAAAGCCTTTTCAGCATCAAGTGAGACAACCAGTGAGGGTGTGTGCGTATGCGCCTGTCTCCATATGAGGTCAACGTTGCGACGGATATTTTCAAAGAGCTGTCTGCCGGGGACAAAGCCAACCTGGTCGGCGTTGATCAGGGATGTTAAGTAGGGGTTCAGTCGGGAAGCCTGTATTTTAGCCAGGATCTTCATGTCATGATTTATTAGGGAGATTGGCCTGTAGCTTGCTGGTTGCATTGGGTCTTTCTCTGGTTTAGGGAGCAGCACTATGGTAGCTAAGGACATGTCACGCTCCGGTGTGCCCCCCTCTCTAAGCTCCTTGAACATCTGGAGGAGGTGGGGTGTAAGTTCTTCTCTGAACGCCTTATAGTACACGCCGTTGGAACCGTCGGGGCCCGGGGCTTTATTTCCCGTTAGTGCCGTTATGGCTTGGTCTATTTCTTCTTCCGTAATTTCGACTGCCAGGGCTTCCCTGGCCTCGGGGATGAAATGTGGGCAAGTCTAAGTCCTTGCTAATAGTCACCTCTTCAGCCGCTGCACGTCCTACCGACCCTTGAGAGTGGTTATATAATTGTTTTTATAGAAATCTGTAAAGACTGCGGCTATCTCAGTTGGGGTGGTTTTGGTCGAACCGTCTGGGTGTTTAATCGAGGTGATGTGTTTACGTCTTTGTCGGGGATTTAGGGCTCTAGATAGTAGTGTGTCCATTTTGTTTGCTTTTTCGTAGAATGTCCTTCTCGAACGGGTCATGGCTTTGGCTGTATCATCTAGTAATAATGTCTTAATTTCGTGTCTGACAGCATCAAGTCTTTGGAAGATTGCTCCGTCTGAGTGTGTTTGGTGCGCTTGTTCTAATGTGTGAAGTTTAGACAGAAACCGCTCAAGAGTTTGGCATTTTAGTTTTTTTCTTTCTAGTGGCTAGGTGAATAAGTGTACCCCTGATCACTGCTTTGTGGGCAGCCCAGATTGTACTCGCTCTCAAGTCCGGGCTATCGTTCGTAGAGAAGTACTCTTGGATCTCCGTTCTAATCTGTTTTGTGATGTACTCATCCCTCAGTAAGGATGTATTCATCCTCCAGGACCATGGGGTCGCCCTGCATAGGTTGCCTAACGTTAAGGCCACCTCTGCGTGATCGGACCACGCGATTGAGCCCATCTCCGAGTTTGTGACCCGTGTCATACAGTGGTTGTTGACCAGGAACATGTCTATCCTGGAGTATGTGCCGTGTGGCGCTGAGTAAAAGGTATATTCTACCATTCTGGGGTGATGCGCCCTCCATGCATCCTCCAAGCCCGTTTTGGTTATAAACTAATGCAGTAGTTTATCTTGTCCTCCACGCCCCTGAGACCTGGGCACCCCCCTGTGTGCGCTCCTGTCCAGTCGCTGCACGTCCTACCGACCCTTGACAGTGGTTATATAATTGTTTATAGAAATCTGTAAAGACTGCGGCTATCTCAGTTGGGGTGGTTTTGGTTGAACCGTCTGGGTGTTTAATCGAGGTGATGTGTTTACGTCTCTGTCTGGGATTTAGGGTTCTAGATAGTAGTGTGTCCATTTTGTTTGCTTTTTCGTAGAATGTCCTTCTCGAACGGGTCATGGCTTTGGCTGTATCATCTAGTAATAATGTCTTAATTTCGTGTCTGACAGCATCAAGTCTTTGGAAGATTGCTCCGTCTGAGTGTGTTTGGTGCGCTTGTTCTAATGTGTGAAGTTTAGACAGAAGCCGCTCGAGAGTTTGGCATTTTAGTTTTTTTCTTTCTAGTGGCTAGGTGAATAAGTGTACCCCTGATCACTGCTTCGTGGGCAGCCCAGATTGTACTCGCTCTCAGGTCCGGGCTATCGTTCGTAGAGAAGTACTCTTGGATCTCCGTTCTAATCTGTTTTGTGATGTACTCATCCCTCAGTAAGGATGTATTCATCCTCCAGGACCATGGGGTCGCCCTGCATAGGTTGCCTAAAGTTAAGGTCACTTCTGCGTGATCGGACCACGCGATTGAGCCCATCTCCGAGTTTGTGACCCGTGTCATACAGTGGTTGTTGACCAGGAACATGTCTATCCTGGAGTATGTGCCGTGCGGCGCTGAGTAAAAGGTATAGTCTACTGTTCCGGGGTGATGCGCCCTCCATGCATCCTCCAGGCCCGTTTTGGTTATAAACTAATGCAGTAGTTTATCTTGTCCTCCCCGCCCCTGAGACCTGGGCTGTGTGGGGGCTGTGTGCGCTCCTGTCGATGGAGTGATGAGTTTGTATTTCTTAGAGGAAAGTAGAGAGGGGTCTAGTTGGGAGGAGGATTCTTGCAGCCCAGTAAATGCTTCAAAGTGAGAGTGAGAGGCATTCATATTAACAGCGGATAGGCATAGGTCTTTAAAAGAATTCATGCAAAGCACTGGTTTAAAGTATGATTATAGAGATAATACACAGTGCTTCAGTGACCAGAAACATGAAACAGAGACACTGCTTTTGTCCAGACTGTTTTATTAGTAACTATTTGTCTGGTCCCAGTAATTTCTGACAGTTCCTCCATCCCAGCAGTGCTGGTAATTACAGTAGTGATGAAGCAATTTAATAGCTACCGATGTAGAGAGGCATTCCAGGGTAATAAACCGTGTCTACCAAGTAATTCAAGCTGATACAGTCTTATTAAAACAACCTGTATATTTAGTTTCAGGGAGGATGTACCTTATGTCCACAATAAAACTGCAAAAATGATCAGGGTCAATTAGTTGGCCAGTTTTTATTTTGTGAAGAGAGAAACAGATTTGCATACGGCATTCATCACCCATTGTAACACAACTAATTGTATTTATTTCCAGCCTCTAAGAAACCCTTGAAAAAGAAAAATAGAGGACATAACTATTCAGCAGAGAGCGCGTCTTCCCAACAAGATGGAAACCTTGAAAAGAGCAACGTGTTCTCCTGAATGGGACTCACAAGCGACATCCTGAGCTCTTATCTTTCTACAGGATGATTTCACAAAATGGGTGAAAAGGGGACAATTAACCTGTATAAAGCTAAGATAACCTTCTAGTCACCCTCACATAATCCGCAGTAAGGAGATTGCCCAATACTGCCAGAGGACCCCTCTCACAGGACTGACAATGAGCAGAGTAATGCAATGAGAGTAACTCAGTCAGAAGCAGACATGAGTCCACATACTCTTCACGGACATTCCACCTATTTATCAATTTAGCACTCGGGTGCATTCTAGGTCCAAATCTAGTCTTCATGGGTTTTACACTCTGTGCTAAGTCTTGAATGTTCTAGCAGTTCTATAAACTTCCTTAATTATTTATTTTTAAAATGACCTAGTTGTGATGCAAAGATAATATCTATTGCACGCTGCTACATTGTAATGATCTCTATTAGTTTGGAACCCATATTCTGTTCAGTGGGCCCGTAGTGTTTGGAGCAGGTATATCACATTTCTTAGTATGCAGGTAATTGCTTTCAATAAATTAAGCGGTGTCTTGTCCAGGACTAACAAGACACCTTAGATGCAGGAAAGAAATTGTAAGGGCTTAGCAAAATTAATATCAGTATTTATTATATTGAAATTACAGAATGGGTCACCCAGCTAAACTAAGGACTTCATTTGAAATTAGGTTCTAGTTATGCAAAGCTGGGACTGTAAAACTGCAATCCATGCAGTCCGTAGACATGATACACAGATAATCCTTACAGGATTATATCTTCAGCTAAAAAACTGGCATTAAATAATCATCAATACTCCCCAATTACTTGTTTTCTTTGAGCACTTAGATTGTACACCTGCCCTTGGGAAAGGGAATGTATTTGAATATTAAGGTGCTAATCATTAATACATTTCCACTTTTGGTAAGACGTAAGATGAGGTGAAATTATGTATAGAATTCATTGAAAAGTAAATAAAAAAATATAATGTCAGCTACAAAATGATTACATTTTGTTTATTACAAAAAAAAAACGATTTTTTTTTTTTTTTTTTATACTTGCTTCATATGGATAAGCGTTTTGTTTTTGTATTGGCCTGGGCGTCTAAATTCAGACTAGAGAAACATGATTAGAGCCATCACACTCCACAGCCCAAATAAAAACTATATAAAAAAATTACTGTTTTATACATATATACCCTGAATGAAAACATGCATGCATTTAATTATGCATTTTATCATTGGGGTTATATCAACGGTGTATTTGCCACGAGGCAAACAAGGCATTTGCCTTGGGGGGCACTTTCCGGGGGCGGCAAAAAACGCCGCCCCCAAATGCCCGATAAGTGGGGCTTATCCTGATCCCCCAACCTAAAACAAAGGAGCATTATTGAGCCTTACTCCTATTATCACACGTGGATGAAATATGTCTGGGTAGGACAAGATGGTTGCCAACCGTAACCAAGATGGACCAGGAATGTGGGAACCCTCTTACACACGTGATTCAAAAATTAAAATTAGTTTAGCCTATATTCTTGTGGGAATTCTCTTTTAAAAATGAGGTTGTTGAGCATGTTACATGTATAAACTATGTTTTATGCAATTACCTCAATAAAATAAAATTGACACAAAAAAATGTAAACACAAAATACATTTTTGTGATATACAAGCATGAGTAAAGTCAGACATGATGTTTTCATGATCTATCCTTTAGCCAGATGTTGGGCTGCACCAAACTCATGCAAAAATCTAAACGCATGACAGAAAGTTTGTTCTGATGCAGCATTTACATGCTTTGTACAATGCTACGGAATCTGATGGCGCTATATAAATAATAAAATAATAATATACATAACATTCTTGGAACAACGTAGCAGACCCATGCGGAGCTGGAAATAACGTAAGTTTTCTTACCTTTTAAGGGAGGCAAGGGGGGACAAGCCACCTAAGTGGTGTGTCTGTGAGTGTGTGTCTGTCAGTGAATGTGTGTGTCTGTGAGGGAGCTTGTGTGTCTGAGTGATTGTGTGTGTCTGTGTCACGGCCCCCGGCTCGTCTGCCGGTGTGGCTGCACAAAAACTAAGCAGCCATGCCGACAGATATATTTCTGACTTACCTTGGTCCCAGCGGGCAACGTATTCCCTTCGTTCCGGTTCCCAGCGGGTGTGACGTTCTTAGGAACGCCGGCCGCTGCGGTTCGGATTTTTATAGGAAACTTACCTTCACCCATACAGGGAGTGCAGAATTATTAGGCAAGTTGTATTTTTGAGGATTAATTTTATTATTGAACAACAACCATGTTCTCAATGAACCCAAAAAACTCATTAATATCAAAGCTGAATATTTTTGGAAGTAGTTTTTAGTTTGTTTTTAGTTATAGCTATGTTAGGGGGATATCTGTGTGTGCAGGTGACTATTACTGTGCATAATTATTAGGCAACTTAACAAAAAACAAATATATACCCATTTCAATTATTTATTATTACCAGTGAAACCAATATAACATCTCAACATTCACAAATATACATTTCTGACATTCAAAAACAAAACAAAAACAAATCAGTGACCAATATAGCCACCTTTCTTTGCAAGGACACTCAAAAGCCTGCCATCCATGGATTCTGTCAGTGTTTTGATCTGTTCACCATCAACATTGCGTGCAGCAGCAACCACAGCCTCCCAGACACTGTTCAGAGAGGTGTACTGTTTTCCCTCCTTGTAAATCTCACATTTGATGATGGACCACAGGTTCTCAATGGGGTTCAGATCAGGTGAACAAGGAGGCCATGTCATTAGATTTTCTTCTTTTATACCCTTTCTTGCCAGCCACGCTGTGGAGTACTTGGACGCGTGTGATGGAGCATTGTCCTGCATGAAAATCATGTTTTTCTTGAAGGATGCAGACTTCTTCCTGTACCACTGCTTGAAGAAGGTGTCTTCCAGGAACTGGCAGTAGGACTGGGAGTTGAGCTTGACTCCATCCTCAACCCGAAAAGGCCCCACAAGCTCATCTTTGATGATACCAGCCCAAACCAGTACTCCACCTCCACCTTGCTGGCGTCTGAGTCGGACTGGAGCTCTCTGCCCTTTACCAATCCAGCCACGGGCCCATCCATCTGGCCCATCAAGACTCACTCTCATTTCATCAGTCCATAAAACCTTAGAAAATCAGTCTTGAGATATTTCTTGGCCCAGTCTTGACGTTTCAGCTTGTGTGTCTTGTTCAGTGGTGGTCGTCTTTCAGCCTTTCTTACCTTGGCCATGTCTCTGAGTATTGCACACCTTGTGCTTTTTGGCACTCCAGTGATGTTGCAGCTCTGAAATATGGCCAAACTGGTGGCAAGTGGCATCGTGGCAGCTGCACGCTTGACTTTTCTCAGTTCATGGGCAGTTATTTTGCGCCTTGGTTTTTCCACACGCTTCTTGCGACCCTGTTGACTATTTTGAATGAAACGCTTGATTGTTCGATGATCACGCTTCAGAAGCTTTGCAATTTAAGAGTGCTGCATCCCTCTGCAAGATATCTCACTATTTTTGACTTTTCTGAGCCTGTCAAGTCCTTCTTTTGACCCATTTTGCCAAAGGAAAGGAAGTTGCCTAATAATTATGCACACCTGATATAGGGTGTTGATGTCATTAGACCACACCCCTTCTCATTACAGAGATGCACATCACCTAGTATGCTTAATTGGTAGTAGGCTTTCGAGCCTATACAGCTTGGAGTAAGACAACATGCATAAAGAGGATGATGTGGTCAAAATACTCATTTGTCTAATAATTCTGCACTCCCTGTATAAAAGATGGCACCAACGTGTATGCGACGTCATGTCGTAGACGCGCACACACTTTTTTGGGTCAGAGGCCAGAAACAGCTAATTACAATCTAAGGAGGGTTATTTAAACCCAAATTACCTTTTTGTCGTGGTTTCCACTAGCTGGTTATCCCAGAGTGTGCTCCTGATTGCGTTTTTCTGGTATTTGACTTTGGCTTCGTTTTGACTTCCCTGATTTCTAATATCCTTGACTTCTGGCTTTCCTCATCATTGTGTCTCATTTTGTGTCCCTGACCTCTGCAAGTATTTTGACTATTCTCAGGTACGTTAAGACCGGCCATTCTAAGGTCAGGTTAGATGTTATCCTTAGTCCTAGGTGTGATAATATTCTGCGTGCTGGATCAACTATAATCCTGACAGTCTGTGAGTGAGAGAATGTGTGTGTGTGTCTGAGTGATTGTGTATGCCTGTCAGTGTGTGTCTGTGAGTGGGTGGGTGTGTGTCTGCGTCATTCTGTGTGTATGTCAGTGAGTGTGTGTCTGCGTCATTGTGTGTGTATGTCAGTGAGTGTGTGCGTGTCTGTAAGTGATTTTGTGTGTCTGTCAGTGAGTCAGTGATTGTGTGTGTATTTCAGATTGTGTCAAATCAGTGAGTGTGTGTGTATGTCAGTGTATCTGAGAGTGTGTGTCTGTCAGTCAACGTGTGTGTTAGTCTTTAACAGTAAGGGGTGTGGCCTTGACAGGAAGGCATGGGGCAAATGCAAATTAGGGGGTGCCCGAGTTCCGTCACAGATCCAAAATAGACCACAGGGTTTTATCTAAGATCCTCTTGTAAAACCTGCAGTTCTCTTGTCTGCTGTCTTTACATATCCTCTCCTTCTAACCCTGCCCAGACTATCTGTGGCTGTCCAATGCAGCTCAATGAGAAGTCTTTGCAAGGATGTAGCTCTGTGCAATTGCTGCCTCTTGAGTTTAGCACCACTGAACTAATCATACCAGGAACTAGCATTACCTGTTATATGCTTGAAAGCCAAGGGGGTGTAACCAGATTAATTTATAAAAGTTAAAAAAATGGCACTTTCTGCAAGATGAAAAAAAAAAGGACACACTCTTTACACATAAAGCTTTTCAGCAAGCTAAAGTGCTTTAGGGGTCTGGAGTGTCCCTTTAAAGCAATCAGGCGCAGCATCCCAACGCTGTATTAACATAGACTTCCAAAATCAATGAACTTCGTAACTCTATTCATTTCATCCTACAAGGACCTTGAGGAATCCTGAGACAATACAGGCCCTGCTTTCCTCTATGAAATTATGTCAGATTGTTCATGATATTGTGTACTATGGATGTAACAATGTAAGCACACCAGGGGCGCTGTGTAAAGAACACATATGGTAGCAAACTAAAAGTAAAGCAAATGGCAGGCACATTCCACTGGTTACCATGGCGACTTCTTCACTTTTACAGTTTTCAAGAACATGTGTGTGAAGTCCCATAATCTCCTCCTGTGACACACGGTCTGCAATCAGTCCCACTCACCTGACATACTGGCTCTGACCGACTGTTATATAGGCCTCCACAAATGTGTGATTATCCACACTTGTGATGTATTTAGAGAGAACTGCAGCCATTTAAACCCATATAAGCACTGGAGCACCACCTAGCATATGGGTAGCCTGTCATCCTAGCCCACATGCTAAATAAGATCCAACTTTCAGACAATACATTTTGTCAGGTACATCTGTTGGTCTTCTCTCCTCCAAAAACCATACTTCCCAACATTGGGAGGTACACAGATCAGGCCTGAGAGGAGGCACCACCTGGAAGAGGGGCAGGCGCTGCTCACTGAAGGATTGAATGGGTCTGTTTGTCTGACCCCCAGCCTGCAGGACATTGCAGATACGCTGTTAAAGCACTCTCTAATTGCAATGCGTGTGCTAATAATTTGCTGGTGCAGTGCTTCCCCGAGTATAGGGACCCCACCGCGATGGCCATGTGCCAAGGCAGACAGGGGAGATCCTTTTATCTCCCCTTCTGACCCATGTAGAGCTGGCCTCGCTGTCTGCCTTCTCAGGCCAGTAGGGAGATCTTCCTCACGGCCTCCTCACACTTTGGTGCAGCAGAGGGAGGAAGGACCCGGGAGGATATGTTTTCCTCCCGTGAGCACGTAGATCGAAGCGTTGCCACGCGTTACCATGGCAACACTGACACAGTGTGTGTGTATATACAGTACTCAGCAGTCTGTGTGTGTGTATTTAGCAGTCTGTATGTATTCAGCAGTCTGTGTGGTGTATGTAGCAGTTTCTGTGTATATATTGCATTTGTTGGAGCCATCAATAAATTACAAGCTTAATTTTATCGCTAATTTTAATTTATCGAAATCAGGACTGACCCTGCAAAAACAGGACTGGTGGAGCCTGTCAGAGCTACCAAAATTAACAGATCTGCAAGAATATTAACCCCACTATCGTTTTTCCAAATATTTATCTTCAAATATCCATGCTGCCATCTACCTGTGGAGGGTGTACATAACAGAGACAACCTTTACCATTCTAAATGAGTTATTCTATTTCAAAACTTAAATTTAATTTATTCACAGTTATAGTGAATTGAAAACTGAAAATATAACATTTTGAAAATTTCTCCAACTTGGCTATAGTGACAGCTTGGATATTTTAACCTAAATATGAAATCAATTGTGCCACAAACTGGGGGAAAAAATGTCTCCTTGATTTAAAAATGGCGATCAGATGTCTCATTG